ATCATGGGCACAGCACCCTCTTCACCCCCAGAGGAGCCGGAGCTTTACCTGGTGCCGTTCTGCTGGGCAGTGGGGATGACACTGTAGTAGATGGGGACCCCTCCAGCCTGGAGCCCCCCCTGCACAGACTGGCTGGCTGGCACAAGCACTGGCTGCTGGAAGGGCTGCTGGACCACGTTCTGGGACTCACTGGCCATGGGAACCTGGGCAGGGAGGAAAGCAGCAGGTAATAGATAACAGAGCAGGAGGAACTGGCCCAAGGTGAAGAGATTCCTGAATTTTTTTTTCTTACAACCCAGAGCAACCTCCCCCAGGCACAGACAGCCCCTCCCAGAGATTCTCCCAATCCTCCCACTCCAGATGTGTCCCACAGTGTGTCCTGTGAGTAAATCCCCACCTTTGGCTCCATCCCACAGGAACGGGGCCCCCTCCCAGCACCCCACAGATGCCCACCTGGTACGAAGGCAGCGGCGTGTACTGGACCATCAGACCTTGCATCTGGTTGCCCATCCCACTCCTCTGGCTGCTGAGGAGCCCGGGGGGCTGGGCCTGCTGCACCCCCATCACGCTCTGCATCTGGCCCCCCATATTGTTCCTCTGGCTGTTGAGGAGCCCGGGGGGCTGTGCCTGTTGTACCCCCATCACACCTTGGTATGTTTGCTGCTGGTTGGACATCATTGGCTGTAAACCTGCCAGAACAGGGTTTCAATGGAGCAGCTTCCTGGCTGGACACAGGAAAAAGCCCCAGATTTGGGATTTAGGGGTTTCAATGGAGCAGCTTCCTGGCTGGACACAGGAAACAGCCCCAGATCAGGGATTTAGGGGTTTCAATGGAGCAGGTTCCCGGCTGGATACAGGAAACAGCCCCAGATTTGGGATTTAGGGGTTTCAATTGAGCAGCTTCCTGGCTGGACACAGGAAAAAGCCCCAGATTTGGGATTTAGGGGTTTCAATTGAGCAGCTTCCTGGCTGGACACAGGAGAAAGCCCCAGATTTGGGTTTTACGGGTTTCAATGGAGCAGCTTCCCGGCTGGACACAGGAAAAAGCACCAGATTTGGGATTTAGGGGTTTCAATGGAGCAGCTTCCTGGCTGGATACAGGAAACAGCCCCAGATTTGGGATTTAGGGGTTTTAATGGAGCAGCTTCCCGGCTGGACACAGGAAACAGCCCCAGATTTGGGATTTAG